GGTAGACCGGTGCGTCATCAATTTCATTTTTTCATTACCAACTTAAAAGTGAAATAAAAAATTCTATCACAATGTAAATTGAAACAATTAAAGGGTCTCTAAGGATGGTAACCTTGAACATTAATTTACATATGTACTTCAACTACACCATTTAAATGTCATGTTCGAGTGAATTTGTCAATTTGACATTGACAGTAACATTATTGTCGACGTTGAAAGTCTTTTTGGTATAATTTGCAAGTATTTTTCGTTTAGGTATTGGTTGATTTCTTGCTTTTGTTCTACGTCTCGTTGGTTTCTTTCAATAATTCCTTACGATTAAGTAACTTCCATGAAATCAGGCATAAATGGACTTGTGTTAGTGTAAAAAATTAAAATAATGAGAGGTCACCGATAAAAATTAGCCCCCCATCATGCTTTATTTATTCTACAAAAAATGGGGCCGATCTTATAAAAAAAACAATCAGGTTTAGTACTTTACACATTGTGTCTGCTATGGCACAAACCACACTCTGTAGGTAAATAAAATTGTGACTATTTCAGATATGTGAGGTAAATATGACCGTTGTTAAAGAAGCCTATTATTTAATAAAGTAATTAACAGTACAAACTGAAATGGACGCATTATTATGACTCTCAGATAAGTAACTTTCTGGTTTTCATAAGTTCAAAATTAAAAAAAAAAATTCCAATTTGTATTGTAACTTATTTTCGGGACATGCTGTATGGTTGAAAATAATTTTAGGTGTTGCACTAGATTAGTATCTATCGATGTTCTATACATTTGTTTTTAAATTTTACCATTTAAAGGTCACTAATGGACTTTTTCAACTCGCTGAGACACCCTGTATTTGACTATCCTCTTTTTAATTTTCTAAATTCAATAAATAAATAGAAACTAATTTTAAAAGGTAAATATATGAATCCCGTTTTGATGAGTGTTTCTGATTTGTGCAGTTAAATGAATAAAAAGTTTCTATACATTCAATCCCCAACCACTTCCATTCAAGTCTGTTTGTTCTTTTGAAGATTATGGCAATTCCTCCTCATATTGCCAGGTTGTTTCAGCTTACAAATTCTGTTTGAACGCGTTTTTAATACAGTTTCTTAACCCTTTGAGTAGGCTGAATGGGAGTTTGGGTCGTTTTCAGAAAACTTGGTAATTTCCACCGCCGACAAATATAAATATGAATGGGTAGCGGCGCCGCGCAATCACGAGGGTATAGTTCTGGAACTGAAAGCCGTAGTATCTAAGCGAATCGGCCCAATTCACATCGCTCTCGCTGAAAGCCGTTCCCCTTCTGATAAGATGTATCGCTTAACCATCGGCGATGTGAACAACATGATTACATGGATAGGTCGAGGAAAACACGGTGAGATTTCTACTTCTCATCACTTTCATCCCTGACAAAATCTAGATTATTAACCACAATACTCCACTTAAGGTTACGGCGTTCAATTAACAAGAGTGGAAACGCCGGGAATCTTATCAGAGGATGAATGGTCCACGTTTTGGATCACGTGGGAGAAGAACACTATAGCTTTCGGAAATGGCTCGATTCCTCACAACAATACTTTACTCAAGTGGAGGATGGACAAGAAGATTAAAATACAACAAGTGGGCTTTGCCTCGTCATGGGGAAGCTCGGCAGAGTTCAGGTGATTCTTTCTTTTTGTCGGTAACCACGTTTTAAATTCGAAGCTTTTTGTATTTCTTGAAATGAAACAGTTCGTTTCGTCGGACTCTTTTTCGATAGAGACACGGACGGGCCTAATCATGTTATACTTTTTGTCCAACGAGCGGTTTTCTTTCCGACAAAGTGAAAATGGTCTCGCGGGTAATGCAATAATATTGCAATTGGGCCACCACTTTACTCCCAGAAAACGTTCCACTTCTATGTTGAAAATTGGATAACCATAATGTCACAAAACTTGACTGTCTTGTATTATTTATAGAGTTGTGCTAAGATTTTTATTTATTCGATTTAATTGTCATTTTTTTGTTTTTTCTTTCAAAAAACAGTTTTGTAAAAAAATATAGTTTACAAAATGTGCATTATAATTCTCTAATACAATATAATATAGAATTATGAATCGTTAATTAAAGAAAAATTAATATCAAATTCAAAGTTCTGTTTTAATGGTAACTTTAATGTGATATTTATAAAGAATTTCTGCTTATCGTGATAAGTTAATACAATTAAATAAAATTAGACTATAGTTTTCTCCAGTTAGTCCGTAAGAAAATTCTTTTCTGGACTCATATGTTATTATTTAAATTGACCGCCCCATGAACGATAGTCTGTAAAATTTTACATTTTTGTGTGAAATATTGATTATAATAAGTAAAAAAATTGCAATTTCAGAAAAAAACGTAATGTACCTAAACATAAACTGTACAGGGTGCTGCATTTTGGATGTCCGAATTGGGAATCTCCGAATCTAAGATGTTTAGCCAAAAACGAGTGATACATTCTGGGGCTCATATTTTGAGAAAATAATATTGGTTAAAACCGCATCGCGCTATCGTCTTTTGTTTTCGACTTACAGACAAAAGTTGACATTTTGGCGAAATCTAAAAAAATTCATATCTTCGTTATTATAGAAGATACGGATTTGAAATAAAGACATTATACAGGCACTTTTCTACGAGGAATTTAATAATGTAGTTAACAATTTTTTTCAGCTATTAGTTTAGCCGTAATAAGATAAACTTGTATTTTTTTAAATGGAAATCATTGGCGGCTTTGGCAATTTTGAAAAGCTTATTTTTTTCTGATCTAAAAAATATATATTTGTAACAGAATATTTTTTTATAACTATATTTAAAAAGTGAAATACATATTTTGTTTGATAATAGTTGGTCATGGAAAAACTATTTCACTCCAAATGTGTAAATAATAATTAATAAGAGTTTTGTGAACTGTAAAATAGATGAAAAAATAGATACAATTATAAAAATTAAAAAAATACGATACGGTAGAAGCATTGAACAAAAATGCGAGCGCCTCAGAAAAAATTATTACATATTTTTAAAAAATCCAAAAATAGGAAAAATAAATGTGTCAACAGTCAACACAATTAGAAAAACATTTTTTTGATGATCTAATGAAGGTAGGATAACGTTTCACATAGACGGAATTTGGGTATTTGAATAGCCATATCGTCATTTTTGTGTCATATAAAATATATTTTATTGAAGAATTAAAGCGGCTTTTTTACTCTATGTATCACTAGAAGTTACAATGGTAATGTTAGCTTGTTTAAAAACAAAGAAATGTTATTAGTCGACAATAAGTTGATTTACGATTTATTTTGCATTTTTTTCATTACTTAGTACATAGAAAACTCTTTCATTAGTGACACTGGTTGAAATCCTTTTAGTTGAAGATGCAACATTTTTTCATGGCCAACTACGAACAAAAATCAAAGACAATTCTTTGCTAAAAATGTAATTTGTTACAAATATATATTTTTTAGATAAGAAAAAAACAAGCTTTTTAAAAATGACATAGCCATCTATAATTCCCATTTAAAAAAATACAAGTTTATTTTATTACGACTAAACAAACAACTGAAAAAAATTGTTAACTACATTATTAAATTCTACGTAAAAAAGTGCCTGTATAATGTCCTTATTTCAAATCTGTGTCTTCAATAATAACGAAGATATGAATTTTTTTAGATTTCGCTAAAATGTCAATGTTTGTCTTAAAGTCGAAAACAAAAGACGATAGCGAGATGCGGTTTTAACCAATATTATTTCCTCGAAAAATGAGCCCCAGAATGTATAACTCGTTTTTGGCTAAACCTCTTAGTTTCGGAGATTCCCTATTCGGACATCCAAAATGCAGCACCCTGTACATAAACTCCATGATAAAAAAACAAATTGTAGTGCCTTGTTTTAAAAATAACTTTTACATTAGACATTTAGAGTATATGTGAAACACCAAAATTAGCATGTTTGCTTCAATACCGAAGCAGTTTAGCTGTAGTAATAGTCAAGTAACTAAAATCTTAGCAGCATAAACCAGCGTTTAAATTGCCCGATTTGTTCGATTGTCAGAAAAAGCACTTTTAAAAAGGGAGAATATGTGCCATAACAGAAACAATTTACTAGAGGAAAATGAGGCAGTTAATTACAATTAAACTGGGCGATGTTGCTATTTATTTTTTACTCTCTTTCACACGTCAAAAGCATGCCTCTCGGTAAAGAAACAATTTATTACAACTTTTGTAATTAAAGTAAATAAGTTCTACGAAATGTATTCCAATCAATGCGAAAGCTTGACCTAGATTGCGGTAAGCGTTTAATTCCACGATGTATGAGCTATTCAAAAACTAATCCTTCCATAAAAGCTTCTTAGAAAGTAAGGAGCGTTAGCGAAACTTGGGACGTAGTATTAGCGAGATCGATGTAACTATTTAGAAGAATGTCAGCCGTTCAAAGTTCACCACATCATCAATCTACTAGAAGTTGGGGACTAAGACACAAAATGAATTGTTATAGACTACACCCGATAAATAATTGGTTTCATATATTTCACATGAAATAAATCATTACGATTAAATTCATTTATCAATGGTTATCCATTTCTAAACAACTGATCCATCATTCATCTAACACAATTGATGTTCTAGAAAGAATTCCATTTTAATTTTACACTTCATTTAGTTGATGCTTTAGTTTGAGACTCTCTCCAATGATTTTAAAGACGCTGTGGAATTTTAACGAGAAAACAAGGAAATTTTTAATATAGAATTTAGTACCCTTGGCGATAAGAGCACAACAACAAAACTAGAATAAATTTCACCAATCACCGCATAAACATATACAGTGCAGGCAAAACTCGAATGTCATCTTTTTACATTTTATAAACTACTTGTGACAAGTTTAAAACCATAAGAGTGACTAACCCCATTTCTGGCACGTATATTCCAGAATATGGAATTTCAACGAAGAGGCCGGCTTTTCTCAAGTTCTGCATTTAGACACGCCGAAATCGGTCGTTCCTGGTTCAGAATGGGGAAAGTTACTTGTAACAGGAGGCTTAGCTTTACCGGCCATAAACAAGAAAATCGAAGGTGGTGGACTTTCCGGTGCTTTAGCAGCTTTAACTCCGCTTTTAACTTTGCAACATCTTGGCAAGAAAGCCAACAAGACCGAACGCTTACAAGCTTTGCAGAGTTTACCTGGTGATGTAAGTGTTCTAATCTTGACTCAAACCCAAGTTTAGTTAATTAGACTAGGGAATATAAATTTTATTATAATAAATTACAGATACAAGACATTCTGTCGTATCGCAAAGTGGACAACTCGTTCAGCGAGCACCAAATGTTGGGCAGTCACACGGCCACGGTTTCAATTTTGGAAGCTTTGACTAAAGTCCAGAGTTATTTGAATATTGATCCAGATTTGATTCAAGCTATCAAACGTTGGGTACAACTGCGTCAGGAAGATGACGGCCGATTCTCTCCACTTCCTGCAGACGTCAAGTTTCCCTCTTCAAAACAGACCGATTTTATGCGAAAGAATTTAAGTTCGGAGATTGCTCTTCTCGAGCACGTCATCGAAATTACTGCCGACACTGTAATCACATTGTACGAAATCGAGATTGAAAACGACGCCGATTCAGAGACATTACAAAAAGCAAAGATTTTCCTGGAGAACAGTCTCCCCAAACTGGAAACACCAGAAACAATCGCTGTCGTCGCTTTAGCACTGGTTTTAGTCCGCAGTGCAACTGCCTCTTGGGCTATTGAAAAGTTGCGAAATGTGTCTACAACCGAGGATGGTGAATTCGGATGGCCGCATTTAGTCCCGCGAAGAGACGCCGCTGATTGGTTGTACGAATCCGAATCGGAAAAAACACTAAAAGAACCGTTAGCGACTACTCTGGATGAATACAAGGCTTCACTTCACGCTTTATCCACTTTTTGCATAATCGGAGATTTGAAATTTGCCGAAAGTGTAGCTCGGTATTTGTTTTATCGATCTCATATGCTCGATAAACACCCGGAGTTGTTGTACCAAGCTGTGAAAACTTTTACTCAGTATGATTTATTGGCCAAAGATCGGCATCGGGCTTTAACTGTTTCATTGGCAACTTCAGGAATGGAACTCACAGACACTTTAGAACTTAAACCAGATAAACCGCCACAAAGTCTTCATTTGCCGAGTCTTCCCACCAAAGTTTTTGTTTACGCTACGGGGGCGGGATGTGCTACAATCCAGGTAAGCAGCTAAACGAGTTAATTATCAAATTAAGCCAACAATTATAATTATAGGGCAAAGTTTCTTATTCGACGTATTCCGTACAACGCACGACTCCTCTACTTGAACTTTGGTCGGGTGTGGTGCAGGAGATTCTCCCTGACCGCAGCTCGGTAGAAGAAATTGAAGGAAAACTTCCGATGCTTAAGCTCAAGACATGCTTTAGATGGAAAGGAAAAACCCCGTCGGGAATACTCCGTTTGGAAATCTCCCTTTTTTCAGGTTTCGAACTTGCAACCACTCCACCACAATTACTAAATCCTCCGGAAGACATGTCCGAAATGCAGCATAACTTCCATGATAACAAATTGTGGTTTATTTTTGCCAATATTTCTACTTTGTGTCCTGTTTGCGTCCAATACATGGCCCGCAGCGCCTTTGTGATCTCATCTCTCCGTCCAGCTTATGCAAAAGTCTATCCCGCTGGCAGACAAGATTTAGCCGCTGAAACATTTTTCCATACAAAAATCGGAAGCAACTTACTAAAATCAATAACCGAAGATGATTTAATTACTTGGTTTGGCAAAAACAGAACGGATATTAGCGAACCATATTTCCAGTTTCCTCAAAGCTGTATTAGAGAAGTTTCGACAACAGCGTCCACGACCACAATAAGCACCACAACCGATAATCTTCCAGTTCCATCACCGAAACTCGAAGTTTTAAGTGTGGCCACTTACACGATTAACGTTGATAACCAATCCATTTCAAATATAAATGATACCAGAAAACTTATTGAGTCTACTTCACTCCCGTATTCAACTTCAACGGAAATACCTGAAAGCAGCACTCTTGGAGTCACAGAAAATATGATTGAAGAAAATGCGATACCCCACCATGACGAAGAAAAAATTTTGAAGAAGAAAAGTAGAAGCATTACAGTTATGGACAGAAATTTGAAAACTACAACTGTGCCAAATCAAGTTGTAACAGAGTCAATTACAACATTTTCAACACCGAGTGAAGTGACAACAAAATTAACGGAAAAAGAGCTTGTGGTGGATAAAAACGTGTCTCCTCCGAAACATATAAATACAATAATCCAGAACAGTCCCATAAAATACATAGAGAAAGATGGGAAGCACTCCGAGGAGTCTTTAGCGACATTTGCTCCCGAAATAAAGAATGATCAATACGTGCTATTAGATAAGGAGGAACTCTGGGGGATGCTAAAGGAGGTCGTTGATGATCAACTTAAAAAGAAAACGAATTCAAAAATAGTCGACGGTGAGAAGCTCCGGAGTCAAGGTTTCACGTAATTATTTGTCATTGATTTTTTTAAGAAGAATACGTGTTGTGATTAGAATAACTGATCTCGTTTACGATTTGTAAATTGTACATAATTTGTCGAAAAACTTTGCTGGGTTTATTGATCGGTATGCGGATTTGGCTTGAAAATTTATGTAGATTAAACCACAATTAGCAATATTTGTAAGTGTCTTTTGGTATTAAAATCAATTACAATCAACAGGATTGGCCGCAATGTGGTGTTGTGGAAGTGAGTAATTTGTTACTACGGATTTATATCAAACGCGGGTTGGTGCCAAAATAAAATAATTAACTCAAATTGTACATACATACAGAACTGACTAAAGTCAATTGCGTCAACATTTTGCAAAGTTACTCACTTACAAATTTGGAAAAAAAAGGATCGTTTCAAACACTGATAGATGTATTTAAAAATGTACATAAGAAAAAGTGTAAATTATCCGCCCATTAATTATAAATTAAAACTTGCTGAAATATGGTAATCTTAAGAATTTAATGTCTGCTGTATTTAGACGTAAAAAGTCTTAATTGTACATAACGCAAATAAGCAAATGTGACGCATTTTTGTAAATGTGCCAAATCGTTAAACCTTTATTCCAGTCCAAGTTAGACAGTAGTGTTCACCGAATTAATTTCTTGATCTTTTTACTCGTGTACCTGTATAATTTAATAATCTCTGTTGCCAAAATAAATATTAACTGAAAATAATTACCCAGAAAACATCGAAATTTTTATAACAGATTTTCGATTTACACCATGTACATAACAGATCCATTTAATCCTTTTCCATCATTTTGATAAACTATTGCACAAAACTTTGTATCTTTTATCACAGTTATTTGCTGAATTTATACATACATTAAAAACATGTACACTGCTCACCAATGTTAGGTATAGGAGGAAAATAATGTTATTTTCTCAGTAATGCTTCAGCCAAAGTTATATAATGCATTTTAGCTCTATTTTAAATACCAAATTGTACGTATTCATGTCATATCAATGTTGTATTATTTACCAGTTCAATAAATTATGATTTTGTAAGTCTGTTGTTTATTTCTGAAATTTAGAATCAATTTTGTTTAACAAACATAATAAAGTAATATTCAATACCGCTTCAATACCTACAATTAGGTGACTGAATTTTGAAAATTGAAATTACAAGAAAACAATAAGTGATAGTTTGAGTTTTGACCAAAAATCAAAATTCTCTCAAACTAATTTTTAGTTTTTAAAAAATAAATAAGAATGTAAAAATTTATTTCAAAAATATATAAATATCCCTAATTTTAACCTAGACTATAGTTTATCAATATCAAATTACTTTTAAAATCGGCAAAAGTTACCACAACATTGACTCAATTTCAACGTTGCGTAAATCATAAACACGGGCATTGTTTGGAAAAACAAAGCCTTTAATCCACCATCATACTCGATCCACCAATTTGTAGTTCTGCCGGAAACTATTAGTCATTGCATAAGTTTCATTACTGTATGCATTTGTGGGAGACCTCCTTTGGAAAGTTTGTATAGAAGAAGTGACCCCAGTCTTTGGTTCGGCACTAATTTTTTTGGCATCTTCTTTGACTTCTTGATTGTGTTTGTATATTCTTGTGCACATCAAGATAGTACTTAGCAGAACTAGAAACTCTACTAGTACAGCTACTAGTCCTATTCCTAGAAAAACTAAATAATGTTGGCGATACCACTGCTGAAGACCATCGTTGCAGCCCTACAACAATTTATTAAATTAATAGAAAATAGTTGTAAAACAATAAATTACTTCTAAATGTCTGTATTCTTCATGTCTGTTGGATTCGAGTGCTTGGCACAATGTCAGATTTGTCGGTTTAGGGTCCAAATATCCTTTCCTATCGTTATTATTTTCCAACTTGCAACAACTTCGCGGAATTGCTAGATTCGCCCCTAAACCTTGCAAACGCCACAACGAAGTATCATATTCATTAGCAGATTCAACTCCGCAACAATTAAACTACAATGAGAAATTTAGATTTATACAAATTAAACAAAAACATCTTACTAAAGTTTGCGCTAGATCGATAGCAGCCGTGAACTGAACTTGTTCGACGTTACCGTAATTTCTTTGTAAACTTTTGGTTAAGTCTTCGGGATCCACTTCCAAACCTAGACAATTAGGCCAAGCCCAAGCTATTGCATAAACGGCGCATTCACCCACGAGGACGACCATTATGATCAGGAAGTACTAAAAGTTTTCATTTCGAGTTATTTTGTTACTTAATCCGATTAATTACCGATGTCAGTAGGTAGTAATTGTGCATGCAAGAGGCCCAACATCCTAAAATACCCGTCGATGTCAGAATTAAACCTACGGCAGCTAAACCAATTCCTACGTAATAAAGAAAAGGTTGAGGCATGTTTGATAGTGGGCCTGAGGTTAATAACCGAGAGAGCAAGATTTTTTCTTGGTCTGATAAGACCAGCATTCCTCCTGTGATCAGGAGAAAACCACAAGCCTGAAAATTCAAAATATAAGAAAAAATTATTAGTCGGATTCTTCTCGCGCGCAATTTGCTATTTAGAATGAACGGAGCTACGTTATAATTAAACGTGTCTTTTTTAATTGAGGTTAACCAAAGGAAATTGTTACTTCTTAACGAGATATAAGATTAACGTAGGGCTTTAAATATTTAAAAAATGACAAATTAATGTTAATTTAATTTTTCGAGTTATTTTTTATTCACAACATCTGCATTTGTAACATTTTCCGTAATGCAAAATTCTAAATACACACTACAAGATTCAGTCAATTAAAACTAATAGGTATAGGTAATTTTAATATACGTTAATAGAAATAAAACTTATATAATTGAAAATTTTATGGTATAAGTATTTAACTTCTGTAATCACCCAATAAATTTCACTTAGTTACTACATTTAATTAAAAAATAATATCAATTTCGTTTCTAATTGTTTATCAATTACTTCTCAATTAGATAAAACTATTAGTAAAAAAAATAAAAAATGATTTCTACAAAGTTGAGCATCTACTAATTTTTGCCACAAAACTAATTATATTTTTCAAATTGAACTGAGATTAATTATTTAATCCTTGATAAACGTACCTTTTGTTTTAAAAAGTTTTTTTTTAGTTTAAATTGTATAAAAAAATCTTATTTAAAAAAATATAAGAACAACAAACAAGTGGGTAATCTATTTCTTTGTATTTGTTTTTAAATCTTTCACTGTTGTGGGTTTGCAACTATACACCCACCACTAATGATTTAAGTTTTTCTAATTTTACTCTTAAGAATATCTTTCAAAGTGTTAATAATAAAAAAATTAATAAATAAAGTATTAATAATATTCCTTTTGTTTCTTATTTAATTTTTATCATTATGCTTAAGTTGCTTATTACTAAATGTACAAGATTTATAAATCTTCAAGAGAAGTTGATATTAACTATTCTGGATATCGAACAAGTTTGAATTAAAATACAATTAACAAACTGTTTATTAAAAAATGAATCTTTGAATGTTTCCACTGTTCTACATAAAAAAATCAATAATTCTACTAACATACAGACAATTTAAATTACCAAGACCGGTATAAATTAAATTAGAAGATCTACCTATTTAATTAAATATAGATATTTACATACATTTTAAATAGAATACTTACCAGCAGTAAAAAGTTGCAAATGGCTAAAATAGCTTTACTCCCAAGAAGCGAGAACACAGCCATTATTTGTTAAATTTTGTCACCTAATACACTACACATGTTCGATGTCAAGAAAACTCAGCCATTATTATCCTTGCCACTAATTCACATATTAGTCATAGACACACTTGTTGGTACGTGCACAGAATCCCAATAAAATGATGTATAAAATAACAAAAGTAGATTAAAATCGGGCAGGAAGGAAACAGCAATTAGCAGAGCATAAAGAAGTGGGGTTGCAGTTCATGCATGGAAAACATGGTCGGTGATGAAAGTTAGAATGCTTAGAACATTGGACAAACATCAACCTAAATCTTAAATTTTTATTTCACAATGATGCTAAATTTCTAACAGACAAATAACTGTAATTAGCAATTTTCTCATATTGCTTTCCTGCATACAGGGTAAATAAAATAGTGTGGAGTTAACATTTTTTGCTTAAACTACTTATTTTTAAAAACCTAATAGATAATTAACAAGGTACAGTAGAAATGTGACGTTTTATCAAGAATAAAATTCTCTGAAATTTTCTTTTGCTTCTGAGTTTTGCAATTTTTTTTTTTTAAATGACAACTCACTATAAAACGTTTTTTCACAAAGCTATAATCTAAAAATTACAACTATCTATATTTTATTCAATTTTTATTAATTATTATTTTCTAAAAACGAATTATTAAAAAAAACCGCTTGTTCTATACTTTTTATTCACCTCGTATAAGAATTGCAAGTGTATAAAAAAATGTAATTTAGTTCTTCGTGGATAAAAAGTTGATTATAACATGGTGATACAGAGGAAGTAGGGTTGGTTGATTCTGCTCTGTCGTTGAAAAACTTTTAATTATTTTAGAGCGATTTAACCTGCGATCAATGACTGAACTAAACAACAAATTGTATGAATAAAAATTAGTACAATTTTAACAAAAATAAGTGGTAAATGTAATATCTACTGTAAATTGTAATTAAATTTTTAATTTTTTGTCCTAATAACCCGAATGGTAAGGTAAAGTAACCAGATAACATCAGAACAATAATTTAGACAGATATTGTGCTCAAAAAAGTCGGACGTTCTCAATTGTTTGAGGAACTCTTAATTTTCTGCAAATTAAATCTAAAGTATTTACGAAGGGTACAGAAGCCAATATGGTACTAATTATGTTAAAAATGAAATGGTTAAGATTTAAAAAAAATTGTATAAAAAAACGTTGCAAAGGTGAAAAACAAACACTTTAAAGTACGTGCATTTTCAAATAAAAGATTTATAACAATACATTGTCATCTCAACCATATAAATCATTTTGAAAAAAAATATGACTTAGACTTATTGGCTTCTAAACCTTCCATACCATGTACATTTTGCTACTGTTATTACGTATTACAGTAGCTATTTTAATTTCAGTGCAAATTAAATTATACAATGCTATTTACTAAATAATGTAATTTTAATTAATTAATTTTAAGAAAAAGATAGCAATAGTTATTTAATAAACAAATGTGTTAACCAAAATGATTAATAAATAGAACTGTTTCGCATGCCCTATTGATTAACACAAGAGTTGAATACAATACAATTTTCCAAAACTTGTATCTAATTCAAAACCTAATTTAAAAATATTCATTTATATAAATTAAAACCAGTTACATTAAATTGTATATTTAATTATATTATCTGTAATCTTAAACAAATTATTATTTATGCGATTAATCAAATTTATCAAGTATATTGAGTTGCCTATACTAATTTTTTTTAAATAATAATATAAAAAAAGTTATTATTAAAATTATTACTAAGTATTGGATAATATTATATACCTACATCAATTAAATTCATTATATCAACATAAACTATTCCAATAATTTCAGGGAAATAATCGATGTTTTTAAATGTTACGGCATGAATTTTGCCCGTCACTGTACACTCATCAATGACTCAAAAATAGTGCTAGTGGTGCCATCACACTGAAGAAAATTCAATCATTAAATACAGGCTAGAATTCGTTAGAGTAAGTTATTTCACAAAATATATTTAAATGGAAAAGCCTTCAAAAGGAAATTTAAAAATTCCGGGGACTATTATAAATAGTCAAAATGCTCAACTATTATGTTCGACTGGAATTCATTCTTTGGACTCTATATTGGGTATGTAAAAATTTTAAGGTTATTTGTCCTTGTTTTTGATATAAAACGGTTTTTCTATAATTACAGGAGGTGGTTTGCCCGTGGGGACCGTCAGTATTATAGGTAGGCCAGCTTTATTTGAAAGTAAATTAAATAAATTTGTTTTTTTTTTGTGTTTTTAGAGGAAGATATTTATGGTTCCCATGCAAAAATTATGTTGGACTATTTCCTAGCTGAAGGAATCGTCAGTAAACATTCTACACTAGTCGCTAGTTTAGATATAAACCCTTATGACATTGTGAGTATTTTAGAAATCATTTTAATTAGACCAAATGACTTTCTATTTAAAGATCAAAAACCTTCCTGCTGTGATTACTAATGATTCTGAGGACTGTCCAATTCCTAATTCTGAATCTTTACACACTGAGAAAATGAAAATAGCTTTCAGATACCAGAACTTGCCTACAGCGGAAAAAGAGTCTTATAGTGTAGGTCATAATTTTGATCTGTCTAAATCTATGTCACTTGAAGACATAGAAAATTCCGATATTTGTTACTGGAATGGACAGAGAAAAGAAACTGGTAACAGTATGTTTGCAAATCCTGCCTATAACGAATTACTTAAAGCTGTGAAAGAAAAAATCAAAGAAGGAAAATTTTTTCTGAAAGATAATCCCCCAAACAGGACCATACTTCGAATAGGTGTCCACTCTCTGGGATCACCCATGTGGTTGCCCCATCGAAATTCATTTCATTTAATGAATGAAAGCCGCGATTTGGATATGTTTATATTTTGTCTTAGAGCTTTGGTGAGATCTGCTTTTGCTGTGGCTGTGATAACAATACCAACACATCTATATCATGAAGTAATTTTCTGTTTTATTTTGTTGCAGTTTTAATGGAGAATTTTTTTAGAACTCTCTTGATAGGTGCATTCACTCCAGTGATATTGCCATGAGACTACAAACATTTTCTGGAACTGAATTAGAAAATAATTTTAGCCTATCAGATTATCATGGATTTTTTCATTTGACAAAATTAGCAGCGATCAATTCATTCGCTTCCAAACATCCAGGGTCAGTTGAATATGTTTTCAAGTTGAGAAGGAAAAAGTTTCATATAGAAAAACTGCATTTGCCTCCAGGTAATTTAGTTTGTTTTTTTGTCAATTATGATTGTTTTCTTTTAGATGTGCAGGAGGTTCATGAAAAAAAGGCTACTCCATCCCTGGGATGTGGAAGTAGTACTAAACATCTTCTAGAATTTTAATTCAATGGTACCTTTGATTGATTACCAATTATTTATTTCAGAGTATTATATTTTTCACAGTAACGATACGTTTTTATGTCCGTTTTACTATATTGATCAGTGATGTGATATAATTACTGTAGTGATAAATAAAGTACATGTTTTCATATTCTATTTTTGGATAACAATAGCCCCAATTTCATTGATTGGAAAACAGTATGTCCTACATAGGATCGACTTTTGAAATAATGATCCACAATAATAATTAATTCTTTCATGAAATTTGCAAGCTTGAATTATTTTATCAACAATACTCTTACACAATTAAAAACAAGTTCTCTTATTATCATTTCTACATAATTCACTCTTCGTCACAACACGTGATGGACTTTGATCTCGTTTGTGCATAACATAGGTATCATTCAAGTTTTACATTTAACGCATTTGGAATAAAAAAACATGTTTTTTGTTCCTTATCAGGCAGGTAAAACGGTAAGTTGTTATTGACAGATAATCACACATAACGATTTGGTCATTATCTGAATATTATTGATTATGCTTATCTCTTAGTGCTTGTTAATATTGGAATTATTTTACAGGGCTAACTGAGGAAATAATATTTTCAAAAATTTAGTAGAACGAGATCAAGCTCATTATTATGAAATGTTAGTTTGAACATATAATCAGTTCTGAAAAAATAAATTATTTCCATTTAATGAAGTAAAAATATACAGGGTTTTTCATGAGTGGGGAATTTTTGAAAATTTTACCGCAACCTATTATACATTTTGCAACAATTTTTTGATTTCAAATTTTGAATAATTATAACTGAATCTACGATGGCTATTATTAGTCTTGTCGGTTTTATCTCTTTGGCATTAAAGCAAAAAAATAATTCCTTAAACGATCCGACATCTTTTCATGGACGCCATTTGGTCCACGCAAATGCAACCGGCAATACAGTTAAATGTTTTTGTTGCGTAATCACCTACTTGCCTGCCTCAGTAATAAGTAATATAAATGAATAAAACACAATCAATAGTGTAAATTTTTATTGATGCCTAGATATTATTGCTTTCAAAAGCGTTTTTCTCACCCCGGTCCCAATAATCGACTGATTAAACTGTTTTATCAGCGAATAAAACTGAACTTTCGTATAAGATTATTGATTAAATCAATGAGTTATAGAATAACACAAAAAAAACTAATTAACTCAAAAAACAATAAAAAGAACTTTGTTCTATTTGTTGATTTGGCCCTCTTATAGAGCTGTACATGCAACCAGTAATACCGGTGCGTATTAATGTTGCTTACATTTAATAGTGACTGCATTAAAAAAAAAATTGTTTATTCTTCCTGGCTGTTCCATAATCTGTTAGAATACTTTTAATTTTTTCTACATGAAATAATGGAGTCTTTTATTTTTAAATTTGTAGCTAGAGTTCAGGTATAAAAATCGTGAGTTTTTATCTAGTGGTGTGATTAGGGTGTGGGGAGTTTAGGAGCAGTTTAGGTCCCCTTAATAACTTAATAATTTCTAATAATTATTATAAAATAAGAAAAGCAAACCATTTTTTGTTTAATTTGACCTTACAAGTCTTCAAAATTCTGGAGTCAAGGAGTTAAGTCAAAATTAAAAAGTTATTAATCTGAAACTTTTTTTAACTTTTCAAAACGTTGATAAATCATAAGGTAAAAGGTTCATACAAAAAATGAGAGAAGTGATAGATATGGCACGAGATATAGGTATACAACTAACAAAAAACGTCGCAAACCTCGTTTTTTGAGATGAAGTAAGTAACAAACATTTGATTTCTTTGTAAAATTTTTTTTTTATTACAAATGCACCCTACTGCCAAATTTGAAGCTAAGAAGCTCTATTCTATCATATAGAAAAAGCCTTATGAAAAGTGACGAATTGACAATAGAAAAGTCTCGAGATATAAAAAGCTTTTAATCTCTAAAGGCCATCAAGAAAAAAAAAACATTTTATATATAATAATTTTAACCATAAAGTGTAATAATATCACAAGCAGACAAGTATCATATAGGTTTAAAGCAAAATATTAAAGAAATTCAACAATAGGTACATCATATATTACTCTAAGATTCAAGGTAATGTGAAGAAACAGGTAAAAAATACTGCAAATATATACAGTCGCGGCCATTGAAAAGTAATACACTTGACAAATAAAAAAATTTTGGCGTTGTAAATTTTCCCTTGAAATTGACAATCACTGTCATGTTTAAAATATCACTAGAATCTTGTTCTTTGTTTGAAGGACAGTCATTGTATTCACATTTATTTCTCCTTCTGTACATTCGACAATTTGGCAAAACTGACGTTTTCAGTGACACTGACAATCACGACAAAGAAAACATTACATTATGCAATTTTTTAAATTTTGAGAGGATGAGTCAAAATCCCGTGTATTACTTTTCAATGACCGCCACTGTACATTTCTATAGAACTTAAAAACAAAACAAAAATTTGACTAAATATATAAATTGGATCTTAATTTTGTAATATTTTTGAAAGTAAAATATAGGATACATGAATTGATTTTTTTGTTTCACTTGAAATTGTGTTTTACTTTTTAAACCTCCATACACTGGCGGAGATGGAATTTTGAACGATTTGTCATTCGACTGACATAAAAATGTAACTTAGGCAACTATCCTCACTTTCAGTTTTTGTAATTTTTATCCTGAAACTAGAGTTTTCTCTTGCTTAATGACAACAAATCAAAATAATTTATTGAACTTATATAAAAAGACGTATTGCTGACATTATTGTTTCGGAAAATGGACGTCAAAAATAAATTTCAACTAATTGAACTTTCACATTTTAACGTCAATCATAATGACAATAAAGCGTGGCTTGCGTTGACATTTTTTGAACTGACATAAATTTGATGTCCAAAATTCAGTGTCCGCCAGTGTAGAAAGTACCTATAATGCCAAAATAATTTCGACTTCTTTACAATTTTTGTCTTAAGGACGGACATTCCTCTCTATTATCTTGATTGATAACAACAGAAGTATGTTACTTTGTTACCACCTAAAAATATTAATTAAGATATCAGTGTAGCTAATAAAAGTGAAGAAGTTTTTCTATTTAGAATCCTTCTTAATCCGTCTCTGCATTCATTCGTGTGCCAATCGTGTAGTGTCGTGAAGACGCGCACGCGACGATCTCGGCACCCATCATCATTTCGCATGTGACAGGTGGCTGCACTGGCACGCCATTCGTTCTAAAATGGCTGCGGTGTGTGTAGTAAACGAGAGAGCGAAAGTGTGTTTGTGTTTCGTATTGAAATAAACTGTTGTGAAACACCGAAACAATTGTTTTAAAAGCGATTGTGTCGAAAGAGATTGTCTGTGAAGTTTTCGTCCTCTGTGCGTCGGTTACAACAAGCCTCGAGTCAAAAGAGCCCAACTTTGCTCTAGACACAGTGTTTATAACCTCTCCACGCCACTTAAATTAGACTTTTCGAGTCCTCGAAGAATAAACAAATAAAGTTTCATTCATCAGCTTGAAGAACGGAGGAGTAGAAAAAAGCGCCATGCGTTCTAAAACAACCTGTTAAAAAAGTCCACTGAACCTTGTGTTTACATCCGTCAGAAGAGCCCCCTCGAAGCACATCTGCCTCGGAGTGGTCTGAACGGTTAAAGGGGCCCCGAAATGCACACCTATGTTCTTAACGTGTTAAAATGCACATGGATACAACGCAAAACATCAGTTTACAACCTTCAGCACTCAATTAAGAAGGCAAGCTGTACCTAAACACTGATTGACACGTCTGGAGATACAAATTTGAAGGTCGTTTATCTAAATAAAATGTGTTTTGCCATTGTGCAGTTGGGTGCGAGACTGTTTTGAACTACCCGCTTCAAGTCATGGTCAGTTCAGGAGTGTGAAATTATTTATTTGCAAGTGCGATGTAAAAACGGACAGGCAGATCGACACACTGGATCAAGCCAGCTCTGGTCCAGGGGGTTGCCACGACGGTGGAGGGACAGTCCCCCCCGTCGTCCCACAGCCCCCGGGACTGTCGCCCTTTCCTCACGAAATCAACACTCCCAAGCGACAAGCTGTGGTAGAAAGGTGGGTTATTCATAATATTTATTTGGGTAAACCTTTTTAGATCGCAACGGAAACCCTTAAGGGATATAAATAGAAAGGATGGCGTTTGGGGACAATATCCTAACTTTCCAAAAAGTAACATGCTTAAGAAGCGTTTTGTCAAGGATATATCTAACAATTGAGCATTTTCCATACATAATTTTAATAAAATTGATAAGATATAGGAGGAAAAAATCTCACAAGAAGAAAACCGAAACCAAAAGTAGAAAATTGTTTCGAAACACGTCATCATTTTTTTTTGACGCAATGACACAAAGATATTACAAAATGTAAAAACAATTTAAGAAGAAAGATAATTAGTTAAAATATTGTTAAATTTTAAGTTAATTTTTTAGCCGTTCAGATAATGTTTTCTTGACATTAGTTAGCGGAAACGCCAGTAACATTGTAACATTGAACAAATTGATTAGAAAAAATACCAACTTGTGTCTTATGGTGTACAAAACATTTAACAAACTAGCAAATTCAATAAATTAATTCTGAAAAGAAAACATAAAAAAATAGACAATATAAGAGCTACATCATGATATGGAAATTGACAGTTCTGGTTTTTCTCAAAAAAGCCTTGAAAAAAAATTGAATTCATTTTTGTGCTTATCTGAAAGTCTATCACCATTCGAGAGTTGGTCCAACACTTTTGAATCAGCCTGTATGTAAAAGTTTCTCAAAATGCATTTCGTTTTTTTACAAATTCTATTAGTGTAATATTGTTACTTGAATGACCAGAAGAATTAACATTTAAAATAAGAAGATGTTGTCTCTTCTAACTCTGTATTTGGTCTCTTGCTTTTTCGAGTAACATATTTTTGGTCCTTCTAGTCGGATTGTTAAACTGGCTTCTTTCAAAACTTTGTGTTTTTCCAGATTTGAGTTTGATACATCATTAAGAAAATGATGCTTTAAGGCGACAACCCCCAAATACATATTTTGAAGTCGCGCTCGTTATTTTGTTAAATTATTTGTCCCATATCTAACAATTGCTTAAACAGCCCAGCTTCAATTAATAACTCAACTGGCGTCGAAATATTATAGTTAGTATCTGATAATTTTACAGACTGACTCAAATACCTACAGCTATATTTTTTTCAGTTTTTTTAGTTGGTACTGTGAACGATATTCAATTTCAATAACACAGTGGATCAAATTCATTGTTTAATAATAAATTAATAACACAATACATAATTAAAAAAAAATTCAGCAAATGCCACTAATTCACGTCGATCATTTTTGAATTTGTCAAATTCTAACTTCATACTTAAGAATTGCTTGTGACAATATTTTTTTCTTGGACGTTATATCTTGGAAATACCATTTGTTATAGGAAACTTAATTTTTCAATGGAATTTTATACTTCAAAATCGTTAAACTGCAATGTTTCTTGTATCTTAAATTTTCTTCAGTATAGTCGTCACCAGGAATATTTGAGATTGACGTATGCAAAGCTTTATTGGGGATTAAGCAGCCTTGCGGTCGGCCGTAATAATTTTTCGCTGCTGGTGGTACTACCCTGAAGATTTACAAAAGGACCGTATTCAGGAATTTTCGTGGTAGGCTTTTAATTTATTACAGGCAAACATTTGGGAATTTATATATTAATTTAATATTAAAGTGATAATGCAGATTTGTAAAGAAACAATCTCAAAATATAGCTGAATATTAATTTTATTTTATTTTGACGAAAGCCCAAAAACAAATTTCTGTTACGGACCATCTCTTCCTACAAACCTTTGAAACGTGCCTGTCCTAAGAAATGCAAATTTGTTTATGGCATTTCTACCGCAAGCCCCATCAACCACCGTGGGCTGTAATCTTCTTATTCTATAATGAGTCTCAAATATTGTTGGTACCAACTATACAACCTATCTATGTCGGGAAGGTTCCCATACACTGATGTGAAGTAATTTTTATAATATGTTTACAAATAAACGAAAGTGTTAAACTTCATTAAAAATGTATTGACAGTAAAAGTAAAAACCTAACAGTTAATTATTATTGAGTTAATACATTCCCACGTTGTTGTTTTAAAAAGTTTTAGTAAAATAAGTTACAGTTGATAATCAAAATAATCTTTCACTTTGAAATAAACACAAAGCAAGGGATAATCCATATTTTTAATTTTGTTCGAATTTGGGATAATTAATGCAAAATGATTTATCGACATTTGTAATTACGTATTTGTTTTTTAATATCCGGAATGTTGATAGTATCAAATGATTTAATTTATTAAACAGTTTTGTGCGATTTTAGCTGATATAAGAGGTTATCATCGGTACTTTGTAATTAGTTATTAGTAATTACAAACCTATTTGTGACAAAAACTTTTTTATATGTAGAAAGGAGTAATAGTGGAACAATTTTTGGGCAATAAATTTTCTAATTAGTGTTTACGATTGACAAAATGTTGACAAACATAAGTAGTTTATAAATAGTAAGTTGTGATGGAAGATTTCACATAATTGATGTTTCAGCATTTTGGCTTTAAGAGTCTGTTGACGGATGAGGTAGATTGGGTTTTCGCTTTGAATTCATTAAATTTAAATGGAAAAAAGTAATTTTTTTGTTTTTTGTACTTCAGTTTGTAATTAACTACAAATTTTCTGCTCTAGATTCAGAATAAACATGTTTTCTTTAAATAAAAATTAGCACTTTTGTCTAATATTTCTTAGTTCGGAGCTTTTTAAATCGATCAAAATTACTTCATTTGTGCATTTTGGACTTCGTATAACTATTAACATATATATTATACGTAATAAAGAGTAATTTATTTTATTCATACTTATCAGTCTGATTAGGTAATTAATAAAAAAATGACAAACAAATTGATCTTCATAATTTATTTAGGAAAATCAGTTTAATGTTTTTTAATGTTCTTCTTTATTTATGATAATGTGTATGTGTAACATTAACTGTTTCGTAGATAAAATGAGTTGCTTAATAAAAAATAAATATAAGTACAGGATGTTCCGTTTTTATTGTTACAAATTTAAACAGTTGATAGAATATTCAATTTTAAGACAAAAGTTTCCTATGAACATGTATCAAAAATGTTATGTAAGCAAGCTACACCCCCTGAAAGAGATGCGTTTTTAATGGGGTTTTCCAATTATTACAGAATAGATAAAATTACAAAAGTTGGTACAGCTGATAACATTTAAACACCCAAACGAATTCAAAGATCAATTGTCGAATTTTTTAATCACGGGCGTCTTAAAAGTTAAAATGAGTTTGATTTTTAATTTTTATCCTCTTTACGGTCTGTAAGGCAAATTGTAAACTGATTTTACTCAAAAACGGTAAGTTATATTGAAAAAACACAAGACCTTTTTTTTTGGGAGAAACTAGAATTTGGAATTTTGTGGCTAAAAGTGTCAAGAACCAACAGCCAAAATAGTTGGGGTACTTTTTACTCTAAACCCCTCAGTTTAGCACGCCCGTGAGTAAAAATTTCAACATTATTTTATCTTTGAGTTTGTTTGGGTGTATAAAGATTATTAGTTGTACCACATTTTGTAATTTTATCTACAATGGTTTCTGAAATATTAAAAAAAATCTATTAAAAGATGCACTTCTTTCAGAAGATGTAGCTCCCTTATACAATATTTTTCAATACATGTTCATAGGAAACTTTCAATTTAAAATTGAATATTCTATCACCTGCTTAAATATGTAACAACGGAACACCCTGTATGTACGAGTATTTATTTATTTAAAGCGAAATTGCTTCCATGAGTTTTGGGTTATTGTTATATGTATATTCATCATTTTAACATTTCTTAGAACTGTTCAAGTAAACAACAAATAAGAATTTGACACAATACTTAGTCGCTCTGTTGTCAATCAAATTACAAACTTTGTATTTTGAATATTGCTCACTTGTGAAAATATAACGTATGGATATTAATATAAATTATCTTAATAAGATAAACATAATAATAATCGAACGTTTTAAGAAACTTATTCATAACCAGTCTATTATTAAGTCATATTACCACTACTACGAGATGTCTTATGATATTAATAAAACACACGGATCTTACCGCCTCGTGATTAGCCCTGCTCACTTCTGAATAAAAATTAATTTGACAAAGGTCACTTCAAAACGAGAATTTCATTCTCGCGTTTAAACCTTTTCGTGGATTATATGTATACATTGTAAGACTCTTTACAATAAATAACTATTATTAAACTAAAATTGTCTTTAATTTTGATTGTGTATGAAAATTATTTATTGTTTTTAGTGTGTTTTTTTAGTGTTTATGAAATATTTAGAGCCTGTGTCATGTTAATTTATTTCATTTATAAAGTTTTAAATAAATGGTATAAAAAAATTAAAAAATCGGTACGTTATTCTTGCATGCTTAAAAACGTTACTTTCCACTTGGAAAACAATTGGGAAACTAGGAAATACGATATTTTTAATTCATCTTTATTCATTATTACTACTTCCAAGAACAAAATTTACATGTTGGTTTTACCTACAACATTATTTACAATGTGCATAAAGGATACACTTAATTGTTTCAATAAGGTTATCGATCTTTGTGTAAATATAAGAATATCAACTACTTTGACCAACATAAACTTCCACATAATGTACACCATTATTCTACGACTAATTAGATGAATTAACAATAATTTTTTATTAATTATCAGTCACGTTACAATTTGAATTCATCGCAACATCTGATGGCAACAAGCATACTTTCCGCTAATTACAAAATATTTACAGTTTGGACGTGATAAAGACGTATAAATAATATTTAAACATCAATTTTTAAAGATTACTTTTATCTTCCGTTTTAACGAATATTTTTATTTACCATAACATTAATTGTGTTTATCGCGTGTTATATAATTAGGTTGAATAATAATAAGAGCATCGCAGGTTGTTTTAGTCATCGAAACGAAAATATTACTCTCTTAAATAAAAGGATGATATTTTTGTAGTAGTCCGTTTTTTGAACTTAAATGAACCCATAATTTTTGCTCATGGAACAATTGTCTGAAACAATAATAAATAATTCATATATTTTTCCGAGCACTATTTCCTTTAATTGCGGAATTATTTGTCGTTTGTTTATTCACAAAAGTTAAAAACATCAGTCAACATCGAGAATCTTTTCCTTTCAGACTTCGAAGAAGAATCGAAAATTATCGAAGAAGACAGAACGACTGCATGCCGCGTTTCGACCAGTCCTTTACCGGTCTCTGTGAGCAAAATCTTCAAGACACTCTGCAGCTGAAGCAGCGGTATTTAGACGCCAAAGCGAAAAGAGTACCGAAAAGTAAGGACAAGAAGCAGCAGGAATCGATTCAGAGCAGCGTGCACGTGGTAAGTTGTCCTTTCCTGACCAAAAGACAAAATAGTCAAATCTTAAAGGCTTGAATTCGGCATGATCATTGGATGTCATGTCCAAGTGGAATGTCGTCACCGGAAATGAACAATTTAAATGATTCGTGCTTAAACGTTACCATGCAGAAATCATTAATTAACCTTGAACTGCAGTTTTGTAATTTGAAATTGGTTAGTTCGCTTTAATATTAAAATAATTCTTAAAACACATCTCTTATTTAGATTTATCCATGTCAGTTTTATTAAAAAATTGCAGAATTAAAGCTCTCGTTTTCACTGCATTTAAGATATTTGTCCAAAACTTCAAGTACTTTTTGAATTATAAAAAATGATTTTTTTTACATATAGACCGAAAATGGTGATTTTTTAAGGAAATGGCAACAATAACTTTTTTTACTTTAATAATAGTACTTACACAACATTTTTGCTTTCTTGTAAACCGAAAAATTTGAAGCAAAAATGTTTTTAAGAAAAGTAATACATATTTTAAAAACGAAATCATAGAAGATAATTTTAAGAAATGCGCTGATGATAATAACGATATATGAAAAAAGCAATTGCAAAAATCGAAATTGCAACTTTGAGATAATGGACAAAGTAGATCCTTCTGTGAGTTTCTTGAATGATTTTTTTTAGTTTTTGATTGAAATTTTTTAACATTGCCATTTTTCACGTTCAAGAATTTCAAAGGGGTATTAACCTTGTCGAATGATTCATATTTTGGACACGATAACGTCGTCGTTTAATTTTAATTCTCACATGGCTTGCCTTTCTGTGATGTTGAATCAAGGTAACCGCAACATCCTGGAAACCCAGCAAAAGTATCGTCCAGGTAATTAAGCCCAGGTTACGGAACTTTTTTTTATTTGATTCTCAGTGAGACGTAACAATTTTTAAGTTATCTAAAAAAAGGCGCCAACACTCGGCCAACTTCCGTCGAAGCGTTGGAATGTTCCTCTTTATCGACGTCTTACCGGATATTGTGAGACGTGAATGGTATTCCCAGAGTTGTGTCAAGAATGTTTTAAGTAAGATTGGTGTTTGTTTATATATTATTTCATCCTCACACCGAAGTAAGGAAAAAAACAAAATGAGATAAGATAGAGGAGAAGCACAGCTTAAGTCACGGTTTGCATGTAATTCTATGACTTTATTTCATAAATGATGAAACAGAATGATTCTGATGAAGCCTACCTGAGCTTTTGACAGGGTAGAATAGACGAAAGTTTTCTTGTACGAAAATTTTATTTCTAGAACTAATAATGCATATCACATACATAAGCTCTGAGGGTGCAAACATGAGGGATGGAAATTTCATCCGAGAGAATTTTAGCCATGCTCTGATATTGAAGGCGGATGTCGATATTTTGTGGAATAAAACAAGTCTCTCGACTGGACATCGACTGCATCGTGCTTTATTGGATTTCGGCGTTTCATGCAGGGGAATTGAGGAAAAGCAATTCCATCCCATACCGGACACGAAGCGAGATATGTTCATCCAATGGGTTTCTCTCGCGCGATTATTACCAATAAAAAATTGGAAGTTTTAATTGGAAAATCAGAATTGGGATTAAATTTTGAATCTGTTCAAATATTAATTCGTCGTAAAATTAGAGATATTGCCCTGAACTAGAAGATTTATTGTGACATTTGAACCTTCTCTCTTATTTTCATAAGTAATTTTTTATATATTTTTTCTGTTATTTTTCCGTTCTGTTTTGCTTTTATTTCTCCCGATGCAAAAACAGTTATTATTCGACGAATTTGAGTGTAAATCGGACGGATTATTTCACTGACTGGGTTATTTAAATCACGAGTGTAACGAGTGGTTTATCATCCACGAGGTGGAATAAAGCGTCCGATTTACACTCAGACGAGTTGAATACAACATTTTATTCTTCGAATTAGACTCAATAAGGCTTAAACTTGCTTTAAATCTGTTAAAAATAATCTGACGTTTCGTATTGAGAAATGCCAAACAGTTGTCAAAACTTTCTTACACGGGAGAAAAACCGTAAATTTTGACAGTGTCGAAGAATAAAACTTTTTTACTTTCAAGTCATTCATTTCTAATCCACCTGTTCTATTCACTATTTATATTTTTAAGTAATTAGTTTCTTTTTTATGTCTACCTTTTTGCAGATTTATAAAGGTGTTGACTTCCTAACTTAAAATCAATTTATAGATTGCATAATCATATAGGTGACTTTTCGTACCGTATGTTTTCATGTTAGGTGAAACTTCTGAATGTGGAATTCTGGTATGTTAACCTCTGAATCTGTTTTGTAAATAAAATAGACGCGAATTATTTTATGACGCTCGATTTATCAGCAGTTCTATGTATTGCATTTCTTGAAAAAATGATGCTAAATTATTTGAATGAAAACTATTTTTTATGTAAATAATAACATGTGTATTGAAAGTAAAATTATCAAATTTTAAGTTTTTTTGTGGATAAAAAACATTTGTTACAAACGAAAAATTTCTTGTATTATTTTTTATTTGTTTCAATAATTTACGAGTATTGTGATTTGCTAGAAATTTTACGAAAACAATGTATGTGCTGTAATTTGTCAATCAACTTTTAGAAAATTATCAAATTTTAACATTTTTTTGTGGATAAAAAACATATTTGTTACAAACGAAAAATTTGTTGTATTATTTTTTATTTGTTTCAATAATTTACGAGTGTTGTGATTTGCTAAAAATTTTACGAAAACAATGTAAGTGCTGTAATTTGTCAATCAAGTTTTAGAAATCGGCATCTTCACAATATAATACGACAATTGAAGCAAAGGTTATAGGTCATGACCCTTTCCTATTAGTTGTATGTTAAATTGTCTACCACACGTAAAAAAAATGGGTGCGGTTTTCAATAATTAACAATCGTAAAGTTATTTGTATTTTACGGTTATTGAGCAATGAAGTTGTTTGGATTACCGAAGTTTCACTTTATTGTAATTTATTGAATACAATGATCCTTTACTGTTTGTGTTGTGTGGTCTGAAACAAGTGTCACTCATAAACTGGAACTTTCTAATTAAATTCCAAATTTTCACTTTGGCAATAAATCGAAAAATTAATTTTACCAAGTACATCTATCTACTATGCGCGTAAAACTTTGTATGTTAATTGTGCAACTTCAAATTGGAAGGATTTTTGTGCAATGGTAAAACGTAAACTGTGGTGGACACAGGCCAAATGTCCGATGTGTCGTCCGGTTGGCATAAGCAAGCTTGCAAGTGCATCGCATTCCATACCCTCCTGCCCTTCTCTTGTCGTCCAGTTCGCCAGAGATCACGCAATGCAGCTCGAAATGAAAATAATACTCATTTACAATATCCATTCTACCTGCCTTAGATTTCTTGCATGCAAAATAACAGTATTTTGAAGTCGAGCGATCGTCGGTCGTTTATTGATTGAAGGAGTTTCAGGGTCGAACGAAACATCTCGACAGTCATTATAGAGACCCACCGAAATCAGCAAATAGTTTTCCCCTACAGTTACAGCACCTGAACGAACGGATGTCTCTATGCTGAGGACGACTGACCTCCGACGGTATTATGACCCAAGATTACGTAAATGTTACTTGTCATATAATGAAAATCTAATTTCAAAAGAAAAATTTAGTTTTGTTCTTGGAGAAACGTGTTATATACCAGACTGGGTTTAAATAAAACAAGTTAATAACGGTTTAATTCTGTTATTATTGTCTTCATTATTTTATAATTGGACATTAGCCATTGTTATCAATTATGCTAATTAGATGGAAAAAAATCACACTGTATTACCGACGAGTAACAAGTTGTGTTTTGCCAATTAGTGCATTGAAAGTACCTATAATTATTATAAATTTTAATTTATTTAACCTTGAAGTATATTTTTAAAATTGTCACCAAGGTATCCTCTACATATGTTCGTAGATTACAGCGTAGTTGAAACTATTATAGCACAAGTTCCAGTATCTTCTACAATTACCATTCATAAACGCCTTATTATTCATAAATAAAATTTATCCTTCAATCCATACAATATTTTCTAAGGTTTAAAATGGTAGTAAAAACCATCTTTGTATAAGTGGGATATTTATGTTTATATCTATGTATAGTTGGAAAATAATGTAAATTTCTTGTTAAAACCTACAGAAATTGTCAATAGTTTTTTGCCATTTACATTTTTTGATGGTGAAAAATTTAGTTTGTTTAGAAATAGTACATTACAAGCGAGGTGGTAAATATGGCATTACCCCGAGTGTTTATGTATACGATTGAGAGATCGGATAAAGCACAAGGGGTAATGCCATTACCACCGAGGTTTGTATGCTATTTTATTCACAATCACATTATTTTCAATAAAAAATTTGAGTAAAATAAAATTGTAACAAAGTTAAGGTCTAAACGTGGTAGGCCATGCAAATGGCATTTGATTTTTGACATTTCAGAAATGTCAAAGTAAGTATTGAAATAATGTGTGAATCTGATTTAAAATTGTCGAACTGGAGCAGTGTACTCCCCCAGAAGTAAGAGAAACTGCTACAAAAGCAATTGAATACTAATTTAGCAAAATATTATGCGTAACTTGACAATTTGAAAGAAAAAATTCCCGGTATTTTCGTAATTTTAACGTTGGCAGTCCTGCATATTACCACCCAAGAGGAGTAACATTTATTACTCTTCATGAGAAATAATGACATGTTTCCAAACCTTAAAAAGGTTAGTAATCGGCATATTACATTAGTGATTGTGAATAAACAAATTAATATTTTAGAATTCATTATGATAATTTAAAAAGGGCAGTATATACAATACTTTCATGAAATATTTTCATATGGTATTCTTACAAAGAAAAAAATCAATTAAATTTACCTTGACAGTATGTAGGTAGCGGTTGTATTAATTAAAAAAAAAAATTGCAAATAAAACGACTATGAATAAGCACTTAACTATGGCGTATTATTATTCAATTACAATTAATAACAA